CGCTAATTCAGTGCCAGCCGTTGGTGAAAGACTAGCCGTCAGAGATTCTTGCTAATCAACAAGTGACGCATTCCTTTGCAATCACTTAGTGGAAAAGGAAGTGATCGAGCGATGGCTACCGACTTGGCCTACTTTGACTACGCTAATGTACGAAAGGTGGTCTTGTCCTTTCCTTTACAACTAGTAAATGCTTGCTGCTCGCTTAGCGCACGGATCATACGTTATCTCAAACTCCGTCGGATACAGTATAGAGTAGTCTTCGCTAAAGTAGGTCTCGCATTCATTTTTTCATGAATATTCATAGCTGAGTCTACTAAAAGAGGGACCAGCTCTCCTTCAGAAAAACGAAGTTATTCAAGTTCTTTTTCTCAAAGAAGTCATTGCCTGAATGGCACCGGCTCGATAAGGCAGATCTGTGGGAAGACGTCGAAGCGGGTTTAGAATCAATCCCATCCGCACTTTCCCCTTGGGTTACCCTCGAGGAACTGTTTAGCGGTCCGGTTGTCATTCCAGGATTTGCAGTCCGATACATTTCCATTATGTTACCTAGCCAAACCCGCTGTACATTGATTTTTCATATATAGAGAGATTCCCAAAACGAACACGCCTGCTACCTACTGTACTGGACCTTCGACCAGGCATTCTACCTTTGTCGAATCGGAACCAATACCACTGCATTGCGCTCGAACAGTTGAGCGGCCACCATTTCAAGAACTTAAGACTTTTTAGACGGCCCTAAAGAAAGAAATTATCAAAACTCAAAAGTGATAAGCATTATCAATAATAGCGGAAGAATTTTAACAATAATATTGTGGGATTAACTTATTTGAAAACTCTATTTAATATTTTCGTTAATTATATCAAAACAAAAGTTTCAAATTGCCCCTCTGAAACATATCTTGATCTAAATGGTGAATTAGTATACATATACACACGCAACATGCATGGTAAACACTAATAACAGATCCATGAAAAACTAGAAGTAATCAAGGTGGGTGCTTTACAAAGGAAATTATTGGATGAGTATCCCATTAAATATTAAATAAGTTTTCCTAAATTCAAAGCATATATCAGCCATATGTATAACATCGGAAGCAGCAAGACGACCAGGAGAATTAAGATCAACTGTTATTTATTATTATTATTATTATTATTATTTTACATCGAGAAAAAACATGCTTGTTTATTTTGTTTATTTATTTTAATAACTTTGGAGTTTCAAGAAATCTTATGACCTTACAGGTAGGTAAACTTCAAACCCATTTTAAAGATTTCAAACCAAAAAAAAACATATCGATCTTAAAATAACCAAAAAAAAAATTATAAATCTTATACCCAAACATAATTTTCTGATAACATATTCGAGTTAGCTCTAATACCAATTGTTGGTTATTTTCATATAACCAAAACATAAACGCGGAAGCATAAGTTTGGATCTTTAATCTCGAATCTGATTAAAAGAAAACTTAAACATAAAATAATGATTACATACCTTGTTCCATTGAGATTTTCGGATCTAGAGACTAGGAAGAGCTTTCCAGTTGATCTCAAGAGTTCTTTCTAAAATCCCCCAACAATGAACCATACGAATTTCTTAGTGTATTTTCGTGTTTTTTGATTTGCTCCTCATCACATATATTTATAGATGGAGATAAACCCTAATGTGAGAGATGGAAGGGATCTTCAAGATCTTGAGTCAAACCGGGAACTCAACCCACATGGTAAGTAAATATTGTATAAATCGGTCCATCAACAATTTATACTCTTACCATAATAACTTGATTTAATAATATATCGTACATATTTATGAAGTGGTCCCATAATTATCCAACACTTCCTACTTGAAATGCTTCTTAGAACTCTGTTTTCGATGAAAGCTCTAATACCAATTAAAGAAGAAACACAAAAACTAGAAAGAATATGCAACCTAAAACTCACTAGAATCTTGGAATCTTTATCGAAGACAATCACTCAACACTTCAATCTTTATTATTTATAGGAACCTATCTACCTGAATTTATACTAAACAAAACTAATTATTATTAACCTAAGAATCTAAATACTTTTCATACACAAACATTCATTATGCTTCAAGGAAGACTTGAAGATCGTGGACAAAACTCTAAGTCTTGTGATATGGTCCATACATACCTATAAGCCTTATAATTTATTAATATTTTTTAGCTAAAAATACGAATTATATAAGTTCTTATGATTCTGGATGGTATAATAATATATCAGGACATAACTTGCTTCAAAATAATCCCAAAAATGATTGAGATCGTTTTTTCACATCTTAAAAATCGTAAAACTTTTAAAATTAAAATCTAGATCTTAACAATTATTTTTCAAAAATTAATATTTTAGTCTAAATTTATTTTAATATAGTTAAATGTGGCTTAGAAATACATGGATTAAATATTTTGTTACAATATTAAAACTATAAATATATCGTTGTCATTAAGAAAAGTGAATATAGTTCCTATAAATTATAATTAGCCACAATTTACCCAATATTAAATAAAACAACATTAATTGTATACGTTTCTAATTTCTATTCAACATGCGACATCCGGTCATCATGTCATACAATGTGTCTGCCATGTTAGACTAATACTGATTTATGTCATGCGCGCGCATATATATATATATATATATATATATCACATATGTGTATTATTAAATATACAAACACGTATACATTGCAATATAATCATTCAAATTCGGATGCAAAATGTGAAAAAAGTTTTAAGATAATATACTCAATAATGCAGCACACAAAAATCGACGTGAGTGATCGGTGTATCCTCGCCAGATTGGATCACATGAAACATGATGCGGATATACGTGGCGAGTTGTAGTTATATCTTAAACAATTTTTACAATTATATTCAAAATAATTTAAAATGTAATTATTATTTTATCACATCATATTGTGAAAATTATTTTATGTGGAATGGACACGGCCGCCTGTTGTTGTCCAACGTCACGGACTTCCTGGTAATTTCCTTAATCACATGCCCTAAGTTATATATATATATATATATATATATATATATATATATATATATATATATATATATATATTACTAATTTTTTTTTAAATGCGAATAAATCACCCTTAAACATCTCATTGACCATTTTATAAAAAATCAATATATAATTAACTACTTATAATCAATTTTAATCAATAAAAATATTTTAAAATTAAATTAGAGTTTTATATGGTAAAATTGGATTTTTTTTAGCCTTTTTTTTGTGATGAATATAATCTAATTCTAAAATACTTTTAATTTCATTTATGTCTACGACTGAATTTGAACCTCGATCTTAAGGAAAAATGACAATACTTGGTACTACCAAGCTAAAAACCTTTTGGTTTAAAGTATTGTGAATATATTTTTTATACTTAAAAAACTTAATTGTTATCTTTGAAAAATTAATTATTTTATGAACTTTGTTTTTCTAGAACATAAAGATAGTATATTTCTAAGCTAGAAGATATGATATTTTTGTTAGTAACTTGTTAGATATTTTGTTAGAAAAATGAATATATGATATCTAAATAATATTTAAAAAACTAATTAATAAAAAATAATATTAAATAAACTATTGAAATATATAAAATAATATAAAAAATATTAAATTCAATGAATATATTTTTAAAAATCAATTTAAAATATATTTAAAAACACTCATGAAAAACTACTTTAACTAGATTTGTAAAAAAAAAAAAAAAAAAAAAAAAAAAAACTAATTTAGGCTATGGCGTATTAGTTAAGAAACTAGTTGTTAGCTGAAAAGTTATATAATAGCTGAAAAACTAATTATTAAATAAAAAACTATCTAATAACTGAAAAATTAACTGATAAAAAATAACGTTTGATAAAACTAGCTGAAAATTATAAAATGACATAAAAGGATATTTAAAAGAATATATTCTATAACTAATTAAGAGGTATATTTCAAAAAAATTTAAAAATTCATAAAAAGCTACTATAAATAGCTTTTTAAAAAACTAGTTTAAATAGTTTTTTAAAAAGCTAGTTGCTAATCTACTTATTAGTCTTCCAAATATGACAACTTAGTATATGTTTGTTGTACTAGCTGAAAAACTTGTTGTTAAACACAAAGCTAGCTAATAGCTGAAAACCAGCTGATAAAAAATAACGTTTGGTAAAATTAGTTGAAAAGCTCGCTGAAAAATATAAAGTAACATAAAAAGGTATTTAAAAGAATGTGTTTTATAATTAATTAAGAGATATATTTGGAATATTTTAAAAAAGCTCCTAAACAGTTAATCTTTGCTTTTAAAAAGTTAGCTGATAAACTATTTTTTGGTGTAACAAATATGATAATTTAAAAAAATTAACTTATCAACTAGTTATGACGTGCCACACACAATTTTAAAAAAATTCGAAAAATAAATTAACTTACCAGTTAGTTATATCGTACCAAATACAACCTAAAATAGATTATAAGCTATTTTACTTATAAAACTTAACAACATAGCAAAAACTAAAAAAATAATAATTTATTTCGTAGACGAGGAACATCGTTTAAATCAACTATACATATTAGCAAATCACTTGTACATTTTGCATAAAAATTGTAAATTACAATGAACTATACATATTATTAAGTCCCGATATAAATTATTGAACCTAACCATACCGACGATCAAACCTATTTACAATAGGTTTTGATGTAAAAAAAAAGTTAATAAAAAATTACAAATTCAAATAAAAACATAATGAAATTTTAAACGTTTAAAATAATATAAAGAAAGAATAAAAGGAATAAACAGTATATTCTTTATCATATTCCCGCGCTTTTCCTTTCTTCTACCCTTTTGAAACTCCACACCAAACTCGTTATCAACCATTGGATTACAAAATATCGGTTGCTTGAGATTACATCCTACGGCTGAGATTTATCCCGAAAATCAGATACCACGTACAAATATTCGGGTAATATTCCTTGGCATAATTACCCTACGCCATTTACGTACTATAAATAGCCTCCATTCTGTATCTTCTTTCATCCACCGATCAAATAAATAAACTCACCGGATTTTCATAACTCCGACGAAAATGTCAGGAATAGTTGTGATTTTCGACTTCGACAAGACGATAATTGATGTTGACAGCGACAATTGGGTGTTGGACGAGTTAGGCGTCTCTGATCTCTTCAACAAACTCCTTCCCACCATGCCCTGGAACTCTCTCATGGTACTGTGTTCTTCTTCTAGATCTACCACAGATTTCATATTCTATTTTGAAGAATCGAAGAATGTTGATAACTATTTGTTGATTGTATAAAAAAACAGGACAAAATGATGGGGGAGTTGCATTTACAAGGTAAAACGATTCACGATATCGAACACGTACTTAACCGTGTGCCAATACATCCTCGTGTTGTTCCTGCCATTAAAGCTGCTTATGCATCAGGGTAACTGATTCAACTTTCTCTAGATGGGTCATTAACGATGTAAAGTTTTTCTTTTCTTACTGTTGTTTGTTGGATCTGTGTACTTTCAGATGCGATTTACGAGTAGTAAGTGATGCGAACATGTTCTATATAGAAACTATACTGAAGCATCTTGGAATTCGAGAATGTTTCTCAGAGATCAACACGAATCCAGGTTTCGTTGATGATGAAGGCAAGTTAAGGATTTTGCCTTTCCATGATTTTCACAAATCTGAACACGGTTGTAACCTCTGTCCACCCAACATGTGCAAGGTAAACTTCGATTCCGCCTTGTTTATCAAATACAGAGGAAGCATACGATATTTCTGATTTGTTTTGATGACATTGTCTCGAACAGGGTAAAGTAATAGAAAGGATTCAAGCTACGGTGGCCGGAGAGAAAAGGATTATATATTTGGGCGACGGCGCCGGTGATTTTTGTCCGAGTAGAAAGCTTGTGGAAGGAGATTACATGATGCCAAGGAAGGATTTTCCGGTATGGAAGCTGATTTGTGAAAACAGGGATGTTGTTAAGGCGGAGGTTTATGAATGGAGTAATGGGGAAGACATGGAGCGCATCCTTCTGCAACTAATAGCTTCCATAATCTCGATTGAGAAGATGGAGAATAAGAACGCTAATAAGTTGTTTGATTGCAAGTTTGAGAGGATTGCCCTCGGAGCTTTGTCTAAACCCATTTATGTTCCTCATTGAAGCATTTTTTTTTTTAATATTTGAATCGATATGATTAGAATTTAGAACTGGAATTTGTATTATAATTTCCAGATTATCGTATTAAAAAAATCTAACTGTTTCAACAAGTGTAGGTTTTTTTTTCCATTAAACTATCGTATAAAGTTGGTTCTAATGGATAACCTCGTAAACATCCTTAATTTTACAAGAAAAAGTCGGTTTTATGGACCGGTGGGTTTTTGGTTCGTTAATGCCGCACACTTATCTCATTTTTTGAGTTTATGCCAAATAGTAGGTTGCAAGAGGGTTTACCGATTACTCCTACACTGTTGAAGACTTTTCCACCTGTTTACCAAACAAACGAAGCCGGGTATTTTAAGAACATCACCAAAACAAAATCAGATTTCTACACCAATGTTGTAATGACAACGTTGAAATCAAATTCAAGTTGGAGCAGTACATCAAGAAGGAAAAATAAGGAGATAATCCACCCTGTTTACCAAACAAACAAAGCTGGGTATTTTAAGAACATCACCAAAACAAAATCAGATTTCTACACCAACGTTGTAATGACAACGTTGAAATTCAAGTTGGAGCAACACATCAAGAAGGAAAAATAAGGAGATAACCCGATGTAGCTGTGGTGATATTTGCCTTATTTTTGTTTCACGCACTTCAGAAAACTCAGGACGAAAGGTTTGTGGCTGCCCTAATTACTAGGTAATTATTGTAATGTTTGCCCTAATTATGTTCTCTTTGCTGTCGTCCCTTCTTTATGTAATTTTATTCTTCTTTTTGTAGGATGAAGATGGTGGTTGTGGTCATTTCAAATGGGTTGATGAAGAAGAAGAAGAATTTAGGGCTTTTAAGAAGCAATCGAACCTTCAACATAGCAATATCGAATCTGTAATGTTGCTCAAACTGATTGTAGGGCTGCTAGTGAGTATCTTGGTATGTCTTGTTGTAGTTGTTATTAAGATGTAAGTTAGATGAAATGATAACAAGTTTGTAGTGTAGTTTATTACATTGGTAGATGTATTGAATCCGTAAAAGTTTGAATGGTGTAATGGTATTAAAGTTTGAAAGGTTATGATCTATTTTATGAATGGTTTTGTGAAAATGGTAAGTACACGTTCAACAGAACACAAATGCAAAGTAAGATGCATAAAATGGTAATCAAATGTGCCAATAATGGTAAACATATTCACCATAACACAAATGGGAAGTAAGATGCATAAAGGGTTATCAAAGTTGATAATATTGGTAAACATATTCCACATAACATAAATGAAAAGTAAGATTCTTAAATGGTAATAAAAGTTGACAGCAATGAATAGCACATTTATCATAACACAAATAAAAGGGGGGTATACTAATTGCATAAGGTTTTTTACATTTCACTAATACGTAGCAGGCATCTAATTGTATCTAAAAGCCTAAATAAATTATCAAAAAAAGGTAACCAAGTTTATAACATAAAACAAGTGGATGCATGTTGCATTTAGTGGGTGGAATGACAATAATATTTAGCAAAAAGGGCTCCATACGCCTGTGTTTACCCTCCCCACTACTCCAACCTAACTGGATTGCTAGCAGATGAACCACCTCCATTCTTGTCAAATACTGTCTTCTTCAACTTCTGCAAAATGATCCTTACAGAGGGTTTTCTCGACCGTGTCACTCTAGGGACATCATTAGGACCTTCATCATCACCTCCTTCTTCTTGTTCACCTTCATCATCACCCAAGTGACCATCATCACCTCCTTCTTGTTCACCTTCATCATCACCCAAGTGACCATCATCACCTCCTTCTTTTTGTTCACCACCATCATCAACCTTAACAATAGCATCATCAACATTATCATCATTATCAGATGGATGATCCAATACATCTTCCATATTATGATATTGATAATTACATAAATAAGTTAAATTGGAGAAAAATAATGAAAAACAATTACAAACAAGTAATTTCTTACCAGCTCAACGGGTGGTATGTCATCCAGTTCCATTTCTACCCCCTCCATACATTCAATTTCTTCCAGGCTATATCTTGCTTCCAACATCATTGCAACTTGTTCAACATCCAGATTTACCTTATCTACAAAGACACCATCATCTTTTCCATCATTAAACTCAACGTTGGTTACATCTTCATCATTACCCCATAATTTGATTGAGTAGCATAGTAGGTTTGTGATTGTTGTTGAAAACTACCCTCCCTTAATATGTCTTCTAGCTCTGCTCAATGTCATCAAGTACTTTGTTTAGTTCTAAACCAACCCTTAGAAGCAAAACATATTTTTTTTCCAACATCAACCACTTCAATTCAGCAATACGACCATCTTCAACAATAACATCATTTACTCCTTCAGTCTCAATACCATCACCATGATCCCCAGTCTCAATACCATCACCATGATCCCCAGTCTGAATTCCATCACTTTCCTCAATCTGAATACTATCAATAACAACTTCTTTTTGAGTTGCAGAAACAACTTCTTTCTGAGTTGAAGTAGCCTATTTTTTGGACCTTGAAGCTTTTAAAACCTTGGAACTTAATGCTTCTTTCTTTGACCTGCATTTCTTCTTTGAAGGTTGAATGGATTGAGAATCTCTTAATGATTCATCATATTAAGTAACCGCTTTTTTGGACCTTGATGCTTTTAAAACCTTGGAACTTGATGTTTCTTTCTTTGACATGTTTTTCTTCTTTGAAGGCTAAATGGATTGAGAAGCTCTTAATGATTCATCATATTCAGCTAACAATGGATCTTTCCTTGGTCTGCCTCTCTTCTTTGGTGGCAAGGGTATCACACCCCCGAACCAGAACGACGGAAACGTCCGGAGGCAGATGACTTCATCTTGTAATATCATAACAACTGAATATAATTGGAAACATAGCAAACAACTTCATACATTACAAATATCAACATGCATTGTTTACTGAATTGTATTTGTTCACTACTTTACACAAAAGTGACAATAAACATGATGTTCCAAAAATGTGGTAAGTATCCAAAACTCCACAGCCCGAGTACCTGCTCACTGAGACCTCGAGAATACAAGTCATTTTTGAAAAGCATCAACATAGAATGTTGGTGAGTTCATAAGCATATTTGAGAGAAAACTTCTTAATATCTTTGTTTGTAGTAATTTGTAAAACTCTAGAAAATCCAATATTTTCTATAAAAATAATTTGTGAGTCTCGTTCCAAATCGTGTATAATTGCATGCATGTTCTTTATTTTTCCTTGTTTGTATTTGTAAAAAGAGTGTCCCCAGAAAATCCTATATTTTTTGTTATACGAAAAGTTGTAGTCTTAAAACCCTAAGACTGGAGTTAGTGTACACATTAGCTATAGTGTGGTTTGTATTTTTATAAAAACATGTAGAGTGTGTATTCTTCGTAAATTCAAAATAATATTGTTATTCCATATGTGAGTCATTATAACCATACTTGATGTGACGAAATACCTGTCATGACATTCTTCAGGCATCGGTTTCGATAAGATATTTGTCACCCTAGATTGGTCCGTCTAGCTGTAGCGAACAGCTCAGGTGTGGGTATGTCAACTCCGTATAGATTTATACACAATTACCCCGTTCTCGCTCTAGGAGACTCTGGTTATAACTACAAGACTTACGGTGTACGCTGGGTAGGTACGGTGAATGAGCGTCTCACAATAGCCTTAACAAAATTTATGCGAATTTATCGAATAATGCATATGGTGTTCTTAGTGTAAATTTATGACTGCAGTTTTATGACACGCACTTCACAGCTTTATGACATACAACCTAAGCAGTTATCGCGGTCCAAATTTCAATAGCATTCACATGCCGCTATTTGAAATCGTGGTTATCGCGGTGGTATAACAGTGGTATAGCGGGTTTTTAATATTATGTATAATTTATATTATATATTTATACATAATTTATATATTAGATTATTAATACTATATAGAATTAATATCATAAAAATCATATAAAAACATAACATAATCTATATATAATATTCTAATATAGTTATATGGAAACTAAAAAGTGTCAAAATGTCATTACAACTCAAGTCGTTCGTGGTTTCTAAGTACTGAAACAGACGAGAAAGGGAAGTTGTTATTTGTTGATTTATAGTTTGTAATTAATTATATTTATTATTTGGACTTATTAATACAAAAAGTGTAGTGGACTAGTTAAAAAAAATAAAGATTTAATATTGAAATAACACACAATCATTTTTTTCTTTGTCAAAGTAGTCCAATATGTACGAAATTGTAAAAGCGGGTATAGCGTCGCTATAGCGCTGATGAGTTTCACGGTAAATGACAGTCAATAGCGCCGCTAATAACGTCGCCACTATTTGTAAATACTATTTCAAAATAGCGGTTCAGTAACACCGCAAAACGCTATAGCGCCACTATAGCACCGATATAGCGCGCTATTAATAGCATGGCATACAACTTAACGCTTGTATTTTTAAAGCTTTATGTTGGTCGGATTATGACACACGGATATTCCTGTCGTAAAACTCTATTTTGCATACCAGTTACATTAAATTATTTATAACGATATTTATAAATAATTACTAACAGCTTGACACTAGGTTTTAAACCTTTGAAATAACCTTTTAATATTATTTTACTAATAAAACTATATTTTAGTAAAATATTCAAGTGAGATTGTGGGTTTTTAACACACTAAAAATTTGTTTGAGTGTTTTGTAACACCAAAAATACTCTATTTTTGTTGTGACCAGAACTTGTCACAATTTACACAAAATTACATAAAACCTTGAAATTTATTATGTTTCAACAATTTTACAAGTATCAGTGGTAAAAATTTATACATCCAAAATTTACCATTTTGAGTGTAAAGTCTCATATTTTACCATCTTTCAAGCTTTTATAACCAAAAATGCTTTAACATTTTCTTTGATATTATTTGTGATTTTTAACACATATTAAAAGAAACCATTTTCAGTTAGCAAATTGTTTCATTTGTAACATGATACCAAAATATGTGAAACTACACAAAGATAACTTTGTTCCAACAACTTGAGACTTTGTAAAAATCTCGAGTTTAGGGAGTGTTAGTATAAAGTAACAGCATTCCAACACACATAACATATATACATATAAGTACATGCAAATATCCAAAGATTCTAAACAAGACTTGACTTGTATTCCCCCCAAAAGAATGAAAACTTGAAAATAATGGGGTATGAAGCTCACCTTGAGGATTTTCGGGATATAGAGGAAGAAGAAGAAGAATTTTTGAGCCTAGCTTGCTCTCTTGAGGAGATTCTTGAAAATGAGGTTGTAAGAAGAATGATTTTAGTATAAACTTGAAATAAAACACCTTGAGTTTAACTATGGACTTACCAAGGAGCTTAAAAATCGATCTTTGATGATGATGAACTTGAAAATTCTTGAGAGAACAATGGAAAATTTAGAGAAAAATGAGATGAGAGTGAAGTTTGGAAGTAAATGTGGAGAGAGGGGAATGGAGATCGGCCGATAGGTAGAGAGAAGGGGAGAGAATAAGAGTTGACGTATGGAGGGTGATAAGATTGTGTCTTGATACATGCAACATCTAGTATGGATATATGGGGGATAATTGTTGGATAAGGTGTCTAAGTCCATAACTATTTCTGGTATGTACTTGACCCGACCCGGCATGGTCCATTTGGGTTGCATGGCACCATGCAATTGGATAGACTAAATGAGAGAAATAACACTTGGAGATTATTAATATATTATAAGTTCTAATATATTAATAATATTATTTGATTAGTTTGATCAAGAATTAATTTAGAATTAATTAAGTGATCAAAAGATAACTAATTAAATATATGGGTTGATTATGTAAATCATCCATATCTTGTATAGTGGGCTAAAAGGCTCCATGGACCATCAAGTTGGGTTCCACCCATAGGATGCTCCATGGATGCTCCATGGGAGTTACAAACCCATGGGTCATGGAAATGAAGAGTCATGACACATTAGGGTTTAACCCTAGATGTGTCAACACTATATAAGTAACATGTTCTCCACCCAAAATCGGCTACACTAAGAAACTAGAGGGCTTGGCCGATTTTGAAGAAGTGAGTATTCTCTCATAAGTTCTTCCAAGAGCATTTGGTGTTGTGTGAAGCATTTGAGGCATCACACTTGGGGTGCTAGGCTCACAAGGTTTCAAGGAACACAAACAACAACAAGGTAAGTTATTCTATCTATACTTTATGTTAAAATTGTTCCCCATGTATGCTAGATAGGAATATAACCTTGGAATTCAACTTTGCATGACAATTAGACAAACATAGATCCAAGGTTATTAGGGTTGCATGTACACTTAGGAAGTGTTAGAATGCTCAAAACCCATCAGTGGTATCAGAGCCTAGGCTTGTTTGTTCTTATTTGTGCTTAAAAGTTGAAAACAGAATCGAAATTTTGCTGTCTGCGAATGGACTCGTCGAGTCTATAGGGGGGACTCGTCGAGTCCATGAGTATCTTCAACCAACTCGGCGAGTCAGTTTATGCACTCGGCGAGTAGGGTCGAATGAGTGCAGAATTTCGATTCAGTTGCTGGAAAATGAATTAGAAACATTACCCTAAACTGTTTTGTAATTGAAAACTTGTTTTTGGTGGTGTAATGTCTTTGCTAATTCATTTACAACAACTAGTTATCAAAATTACAAAGTTTTATGTAATTTTTGATTGTGTTCATATTCATGTTCTTGTTCTTATGATGTTTTAGATGATCATAGGAATTATTTGTAACCTATTTGGTAGTTTAATTCTTGATCATAATGTGTTTTAATGGAGTCCATAACTTATCCTTAAGTTATGGAAAACCAAGAGTCACACTTGAGTTAAAACCATTAAGAAAACACAAGAGTTA